AATGTAAATGAAAACACACAAATTATTTTGCCCTGATAGCTGTGGTTCAGTTGCTTGGGCATTGCTCCACAAAGTGAAAGGTCACAGGTTCAATTCCTCATCAGGGCATGTGCCTGGGTTGCAGGTTCAGTCCCCATTTGGGGAGCATGGAGAAGCAACCCATCAATTTATCTCTCACACATTGATGTTTCTCTCCCTTTCTCCCTCCCTTCTCCTCTCTCTAAAAATAAATAAATAAAACCTTTTAAAAAACACACAGATTATTTTAAAATATACTAAAATAAACTTTACATTTTAATATTAGTGAAAATAAATTGATATGCATGAAATTAAAAGGCAATAAAATTTATATGCAAATCTTAATAGATTTTTCATTCTCAATTTATAAAATATCTATTTTTATTTCTTAAATCTTTACCCTTCTCCTTCTCCCTCTCCTTCTTCCTTTCCTTCTCCTCCTCCTTATTCTTTTTTTTTTTTTTTAGAGAGAGAGAGAGGAAGAGCAAGAAACATCAGTGCAAGAGAACTGATTGGTTCCACTTATAGGTGCCCAGACTGTGGATCATACAGACCCTAATCAGGGATAAAACCCACAGCCTAGGTATGTGCTCAGACTGGAAATAAAACCCACAACCCTTTGGTTATAGGATGGAGCTCCAACCAACTGAGCCACAGCAGCCAGGGCCTCTCCAGTCACTCTTGATGCTTATAGCAGTGAGTTGATATGAGGATATAAGAAGCAGTTCTATGAAGGTGAATATTTCCCCAGGCAGGATTTTTGCATTCAAGGAAGCAAATTATTTAAAATTATCTCAGTGACTTCCTGGAGAACCACTTCCTGGATGAAGAGGTAAAACTCATCAAGAAGATGAGTAACCATCTGGCTAACTTCTGCAGACTGGCAGGCCCCCAGGCTGGGTTAGGAGAGTGTCTCTTTGAAAGGCTCACCCTCAAGCACAACTACGAGCCTTTGGAGCCCAAAGAACTTTGAGGGGCCCCTCTGCATCCCTGTGGTGTTTGGCTTCTGCCTGAGCCTCTCCCTGAAACCATTAGGCATCCTTTTAACCACTCCGGAGTCCTCTCCCATGCTTGGGACCCAAAAGAATCAATAGAGCATTTTTGCAGAAAAAAACAAAACAAAACAGTAAACACTTTGAATGAAAAATGTTTCAAGATGCAGAATGATATGCATACTACTAGGCCATTTATTTGAAACTTAAAACCACACATAACAGGACTTCCGGCCAAGATTGAGGTAAGTAGATATAATTTGCCTCCTTACACAACCAAAAGAAGGACAACAACAAATTTAAAAGCAAAAAATAACCAGAACTGCAAGAAAACCAAACTGTATGGAAGTCTGACAAGCGAGGAGTTAAAGAAGAAACATTCATTCTGGCCAGTAGGAGGAGCAGAAATGGGCAGGTGGGCTGGAGAGGACATACGGCAAGATGGTGACTGGAGGACCAAGTGGGAAAGGCGGCTGCTGGCAGACCAGGCAGTCTCACATTTGTGTTCAGATAAACTGAGAGGAACAACTGGGGAGTGAGACAGACCACTCAACCCAGGGTTCCAGCATGGTAAACTAAAGCCTTGAAACCTCTGCTATAAAAACCTATAGGGATTGTGGCAGCAGGAGAAGCTCCCAACCTCACAGGGAGAGCTCATTGGAGAGACCCACAGGGTCCTAGAACATACACACAGAAACCCACCCACCCAGGAATCAGCACTAAAAGGATCCAATTTGCTTGTGGGTAGAAGGGGAAGTGACTGAAAGCCAGCTGAGAGCTGGCAAGCAGCACTGTTCTCTCTTCAACCCCTCCCCCACATATAGCACCACTATATTTAGCCCCTTACTAAACAGCAGGTACATGGAGATGAAAAAATGTGACCCAAATGAAAGAACAGATCAAAACTCCAAAAATAGAACTAAGCAGTGAAGAGATAGCCAACCTGTCAGATTCACAGTTCAAAACACTGGTAATTAGGATGCTCACAGAAATGGTTGAGTATGGTCATAAAATAGAGGAAAAGGCAAAAGCTATGAAAAGTGAAATAAAGGAAATGTACAGAAAACCAACAGTGAAGGGAAGGAAACCAGGACTCAAATCAATGATTTGGACCAGAAGGAAGGAATAAACATTCAACTGGAACAAAATGAAGAAACTAGAATTCAAAAAAATGAGGAGAGGCTTAGGAAGCTCCAGGACAACTTTAAACATTCCAACATCCAAATCATAGGGGTGCCAAAAGGAGAAAAGCAAGAGCAAGAAATTGAAAACTTATTTAAAAGAATAATGAAAGAGAATTTCCCCAATCTGGCAAAGGAAATAGACTTCCAGGAAACTCAGAGAGTCCCAAAAAAATTGGACCCAAGGAAGCACACACCAAGGCTCATCATAATTACATTACTCAAGATTAAAGAGGAGAGGATTTTAAAAGCAGCAAGAGAAAAGGAGATAGTTACCTACAAAGGAGTTCCCATCAGACTATCAGTTGATTTCTCAAAAGAAATCTTGCAGGCAAGAAGGGGCTGGAAAGAAGTACTGTATTTGAAGTCATAAAAGGCAAGAACCTACATCCAAGATTACTCTATCCAGCAAAGCTATTATTTAGAATGGAAAGGCAGATAAAGTACTTCCCAAATGAGATAAAATTAAAGGAGTTCATCATCACCAAGCCCTTATATGAAATGTTAAATGGGCTTATCTAAGAAAAAGAAGATAAAAAATATGAACAGTAAAATGACAACAAACTCACAAATATCACAACTGAACCTAAATATATATAACAAAAACAAACTAGGCAAACAACTGGAACAGGAACAGAATCACAGAAATATAGATCACATGGAGGGTTATCAGCAGGGAGAGGAAGGAGTGAGAATCAGGGGAAAGGTACAGAGAACAAGAAGCACAATTGGTAGGTACAAAATAGACAGGAGGAGGTTAAAAATAGTATAGGAAATGTAGAAGCCAAAGAACTTATACATACGACCTATGGACATGAACTTAGGGGTGGAGGAATGCAGGTGGGAGGGTGTGTGGAGGGCAGAGGGAATCAAGGGGGGGGGGGGGATGGGATAACTGTAATAGCATAATCAATAAAATATATTTTTAAAAGACAATAGAAGAGAACAATTAAACTAAGAGCTGGGGGTTAAAGATAAAATTGACAAACCTTTAGCTAGAAAAAAGGGAGAAAACTGAAATAAATAAATTATAAATGAGACATTAAACTGATGTCACAAAAATAAAGGGTCATGAGAAACTACTATGAATAATTATACAGAACAAATTGGACAACCTAGAAGAAACAGGTAAATTCCTAGAAACACATAACTACCAAATATGAGTGGTGAAAAAAGAAAATCTGAACACACCAATAACAAGCAAAAAGATTGCATCATTAACCAAAAACCTCCCAAGAAAGAAAAGCCCAGGACCAGGTGTATTCAAGGGAAATTCTACCAGTCATTCAAAGAGTGAATGCCAATTCTTTGCAAACTTTTCCTAAACTGAAGAGGAAGGAACCCTCCCAATCTCTTTTTATAAGGCCAGTATTACCTGAGAGTAGAGCCAGATAAGAATACTACAAGAGAAGAAAACTACAGGCCAATACACTTAATAAATATAGATGTAAAAATGTTCAACAAAGTACTAGTAAAACAAACAGTACATTAAAAAGATCATACACCATGATCAAGTGGAAATTATCCCTGGGATAAAAGGATGGTTCAAGCAACTAAAAGCCATCTACTTATAAACACAAATTATGTGATTTCTCTTTTTGGCCATTTATCTGCACCCTCCCAGAGTCATTTCAGATCTTCTTAAAATTTCTTTTGCATTGGATGAATTTATTTCACTTTCTCCCCAAAAGCTCCAAATTATCAGGAATCATAGAGATTTTGATGTATTTTTCATTTAGCTCCAGACCCTATATTTAAGAATATTGGTAACCTAAACAGGAAATGAGCAAGAGATGAAGAAGAAACTCTTATCAAACAAGCAATGGTGGCTAGAAATCAATAGTTGCGGTGGGAACATGGTGGTAATCTTTAGGGACATGGAGAAGGACGTTGGAAGTACTCTGGGCAGTGACTAAAAGAGTGATCTCTAGGCTCAGCCAGCCAATCTGTTGAAGGCCTAAATAGAATAAAAGGCTGAGATATTGATCTTTCCCTGTTTTCAGACTCCATCTCAGGCTGGAAATTACACCATCAGCTCTCCTTGTTCTCAGACTCAGACTTGTACTAGAACTTATAATGTTGGCTTTTCTGGATCTGGACTTCTCAGCCTCCATAATCTTATGAACAAATTACTGATAATAAGTGAATACACACACAAATATACATTTATTTATTTATTTATTTATTTATTTATAATATACACACATATATCAGTGAATACAGATGTTAAAGAGAATTCAAGTATAGTTGGGTGTTTAGATCTAATGACTTCTTTCAGGTGTAGAGATATTATGAACTTAATCTGTAGTGGTCTTCTGTTCAACCAATGGTTTACTGATTGCAGATGCCAAGAGCCTCAATCCCTCCAAACTCAGTGATGGTCATCATGGGTCTCCCACCAGACCAAGTGGGAAAATACCTTTAGCCAAACACAGATAATGAGCCTAAGTTCAGCAGAGCATATAAGAACAACCCCCTCTGGGGACATTCCAACAAAGAACAAGCCTTGAAAATCACACTTCTTTCTCCTACCAACTCCCTTCTCTTGCCATCCCCCGCTTTCCATGCATTTGTCCAAATCTAGGATTGCTCTCCCCACCAAACATTATTCCTGGTACCATTCTTGGTTACATCCCCTTCCCTGAAAATCACACTGGCAGTTTGGGGAATTAGCCTTGGGCGGCCAAGTCCTTCTTCCTGGCACAGATGCCAGCACGACTGCCCACGCAGAGACACTTTGTGCCCAAAGAGTATAAGAGACAACAGCATCCTGGACATACCAGTCCGCGGGTTCCACTAGCTGCAAAAAATGAGGTCAGTTCTGATCATCTTCCTCCTCAGCTGCTTCTTTGCAGCTTGCAATGCCAAAATCTTCTCCAAGTGTGAGCTGGCCCGCAAGCTGAAGGCCCATGGAATGGATGGCTTCCATGGCTACAGCCTGGCAAACTGTGAGTATGAACTACTCCTCTGTCCTTTCTCTGTCCCTGCCCAAAAAGGCTCTCTTCTACAACCCAGCAAGCTCTCCCCAACTCAGCTTTCTCTCACTCCCCTGCCTGTTTTTCTTTCCTCCTTCCCCTCTGCCTTATAATTCCTATCTCGTTTTCCTTCTCTCTCTTTCCACCTATTATCTTACTTATAATAGATTTTCTCCTGCTTCTTCCCCAAATCACCTGGAATACTTCCTTGGACTTACCCAGGGACTAATGGACGCACTTCTAGTTTTACTGCCATGGCCTTTGCTTTCCTCTGCGTTCTTTTTAGTCCAGGCCTCTGGAGCACAACAGATGCTGCCTCCTACCCTCCCCCTGCTCTTTTGTCTGCCAAAGAATAACCCACATCTGCTAAGTTTGTCTAAGGTTGTTCTACTAGTGTCGCAAGGGAGTTAGGTGGGCATCGTGAGAACAGAGGGTGAGGCAGTGACAAGGGTGCAAGAACTGAGAGTCATCCATCTCATTGGTAGGCACAACTGAAACTATTTTAGCTTCTCTTGAATATCTTAATTGTTCTCCATGCCAAACCTTCTCTTTTGTATTACCCCCAAGGATAGTTAGTTTTTCTGAAATTCCTTCCTGGGATTCTCCCACCACTCCACCTCTTCCCTTGCATAAACCATGGCAAGAACTGGATATTTGGCTGGAAGGTGAGACTGGAAAGGTTAGACTGTGACTGACTGATGACTGGGCATTCCAAATGCACACATTTAACATAGGCTAATTATTGCTTAAGCCTGGGAATACGCCTGGATTATAAATGACCTCTAACATTGAGGATCTCAAGGTCTTTGCATTTCAGTCTTAACGGGCTTTCACTTCTGGTAGTTCTAATACAGCACAAATTGAATCTCATTATGGAGCATGCTCTCTTTTTTTATCCACACTTTTTGCTGTCTTGGACACAGGGGTCTGCATGGCTGAGCATGAGAGCAACTTCAACACCGGGGCCTTTAATGGAAAAAATGCCAATGGCAGTAGTGACTATGGGCTCTTCCAGCTGAACAACAAGTGGTGGTGCAAAGACAAGATTCCCTCAGCAAATGCCTGCAACAAAATGTGCAGCAGTAAGGACTCTATGCCCTCTGGGGCCCAGGTGGTGTGGGGGCAGGTAAAACAGGTGCCATGCTGAACACACTGCTCCCTAACACCTGCCCGTTGGCCTGTGCTGCGAGGGCTGACTCTACAGAAGAAAAGGGCCCTAAGCAGTTGTCACACTAAAAGAAGATTCCAGAGATCCTCCCGCCAAAATGAAGGGAGAGAGATACACTGACCCTTGACTAAGCCTCACTGTCATGGGTCCCCATCTATCCAGATGTGTTATCCTGTTCCTCACACGGACACCACTGCATCACCATTCCACAAACCCACACATGCTACTCAAGACACGCTAAGCAGTCACCTGAAACAAAAGGCTCTCCCTAGCCCTTCAAGTGCGGGGTGCCTTCTGAAGGGAAGAGGGCTCAAAGACAGATTCTTGGCAAAAGCACAATAACCCAGCAAATGAAAGGCAAACCCACTGCAGGGCTCCAGAGATAAAGAGTTTCTGAATCTCAAGGCTGTTTCCTCTGGGAATTCCTCTCAAAAAGATTGTTAAAACAGCAAAAGGGATTTTTCCCTCCCCACTCATCCACTTCTCCTTTCAGAATTTCTGGATAATGACATCAGTGATGACATTGCCTGTGCCAAGAGGGTTGTGCGAGATCATAAAGGGATGTCTGCTTGGTAAGGGCAACATGGAGGGCAGAGACCAGCCACTCTGCCGGAGACACACCCAGACTGTATCTGGGATGCTCATGTAAGCAGCATCTGTGCTGTAGGATTTTGCCAGGACTTTGTAAGGAGACTGTTCTCCTGGTGTGAAATGAAGCAGAATAATATTGTGACATTTTCACCCCAGGCATGACTGCAGCACCCACCCATGTGTCTTGGGTGAGAATCCCTATCTGGGATTCTCCCAACAGCATAAATGGACTCCAACCCACAGGCCCTGCATTCCCTCTCAACCCAGCCCTTACAGACTTCTGACCATGCCTCTGATCTATGTTTTATTTCTCTGTCCTCAGGGTGGCCTGGGTAAATCACTGCAAAAACAATGATCTGTCCAAATACCTGGCCAGCTGTGACCTGTGAGACCATCCTTGAAAATGGCTCCTGAAGAAGGTGGCCCAGAAGGCAGGGCAATTCTTTAAGGTCTTTAGAAGCTCTGAATGTTCCCCCATCTCTGCCTCCAATAAAAATTACTCAAATGCAGCTGTCTCAAGTAGCATGTTTAAGGGCTGGGGTCATGATAGAGACTTGCCGCATGATACAGACAACCAGAAGTCCTGTTGTCTCTAAGGCTACCACCGAAGTTTCCCAAATCTCCCCTAGAAAGATACTTTAAGGAGAATCTTTGCTTGAGAACTTATGGGTTACCCAGTCTAAGCCAGAATTGACAGCTAAATATAGCAGTCTAGATGCCAACTCTTATGAAATTCATTTAGTACTGGTGCCTAATATTATTCTCCATCACCATAAAGGAAAATTGAAGATAAAACAGAAGAAAAATGCAGGAGAGATTGTTTACACATGGAGAAGAATTGCCAGAATATCAGGATGATTGTGTTGGCTAGGATAAATGACTAAGCTGCTTAACAGAGCTTCCAAAATATGGTGCTCTCACAAAGTAGTCCAAGACGCATAGAAAGACTCCCTGCCCCACATATTCAGAAACCCAGATTCTTTTCATCTTGCACCTCCACCATCCTCTACAGCAGTGCTACTCAAAGTGTGGTCCATGGGCCAGCAGCATCAGCATCACTTGGGAGCAGGTTATATTCCTCTTCTAGGCTCTAAGGCAGTCTGTTTCCTACCCATTCAGGTGTTGGCAAAATTCAGTCTCCCGCAGTATAGGACCAAGGCCTGATTCTTTGCAGGGAGCCATATTTAGCAACTAGAAACCTCTCCCTGGACCCCATACATAGTCCCCCCACCCCCATCTCAGGACCACCATCAAATCCTTCTCACACTGTTTTTCTCTGATCACAGCTGAGGCGGCTTCTCCACTTAAAAGGACTTGAGATTAGATTGGACCCACTGGAATAATCCAGGATACTTTTCCCTTCCAAAGCCTTTAACTGCAATCATGTCTATACAGTTCCTTTTGCCAAGGTAACATTCACAGGACCCAGGGATTAGGATATGCACATCTTGGGAGACAACCATTCTGTTTCCCACAGGTGCATCTGTGGACTGCCCAACTGTACATTGCCCAACTGTAACTGGGTGCGTGCAGCCACGGTATGATTACCAAAGGTGCAGGACTCTTCAGGAATGAGTCAGGATCACACCACCAAGCTCCCAAGACCTACCAACACAATAACCAAGGATGAAGGGAATTTAGAACTTAGTGAAGGGAGGTGACTACAAGTTGTGGCCCCAAGATAAACTGGCAGCAATGGAAGTTTTAATTCATTCCCCTAAGCTATCTTGCTATCTACCTTCTAAGAGGCCTCTCAGGAGTTGTGAACGTGCATGGAAATTAACCTGTCTGGCACAAGGTAGAATGAAGTGGGCATTGGAATATGCCATCCAAATCTCAAGGGTACATACAGCAAGTAGTTAACAGCTTCCAGCTCCCTTCCCTTTATATGTACAAGGGTTTCGGTCATGGTAGCAGCCTGAGGCCACACTTCCCTCAGGTTGCAATGTGAATGAAAATAGAAGTACTAGGCCACTTCTTCTAAGAGGGACACTTCTATGGAATCCAGTAAGCAGACTTCCTCAGATATGATGCAGTCTGAGGTTCTCTACCAGATCATGTTTTCCTTGTGCCTAATAGAAGCCAAGACCTTGGAAGAGTGGCAGCTATACGCGGCCTTGTCAAAACACCACTACTGGGTTTGCAAGAGTAACCATCAAAATATCTGGGCTGCTGCCACAGCCAAGTGGCTTAGTTGGTTGAAGAATTGTCCTGTATACCAAAAGGTTGTGGGTTTGGTCCCCAGTTGGGCCACATTTGGGAGGCAACAGATCAATGTTCCTCTTAGAGTATTTCTTTTCCCTTCCTCTAAAAATTAATAAACATACCCTCAGGTGAAGATTTTTTTTTTTAACTTCTGGGGTGCTAATTCCCTGGCCTTCCACTTCCCCTCCCCTATCCCAGAAGTGTTCATGGGCCTGTTCACAGAACAATCTTGAGTAATGGGTTGCTGCTAGTGGTTTGTAGATCACACACAGCTGCACAAGTCATGTTTCTCCAGTGCATAAAGTATACTAAGTACTAGACAAGAAAGCAGTAGAAACCACAAACTGAAAGAGCATATTGCAGGACCTATACAAGGTCCCAGGAATTCACCCCATGGGTCTTCTAAGTTACTTTCAACCATTCTGTGAATGTATATATTTAAACTAAAGCCAAAGTGATGGTGTAAATTAGCCATTTTCAACCAGTATGCTGCAAAAATTTTCAAAATGTCCAATACCTATTTAGTCAGGGGCACTGACCTTTACCCTTAGGTTGTCAAAAAAAAAAAAAAAAAAAAGGCAACAGCCAGCATAGTAGCCAACCAGTGTCAATGACTCCAAATTATACTTTTTTTTAATCAGACCAGCAAGAATGTATTTCCTGGTGTGCTGCAGAATTTGTCATTGTGTTATGAGATGAAAAAGGTTGAAAATCATTGGTTTAACTATATATAAACTTCTCTGTTCCTCAGTTTGGCTCTTACTGGGGGTAATCTTTTGGTGTTCTTGTTATAATGCATCACGATAGGCAACTTCTAGCATAGGTAACTTAACCCCACCCTTAGATTCATCAAAAAGATCTTGAAAATCTATACCTATCTCTGTGATCCAGCATCAGACCCAACATCTCTGGGAGGCTTTTTTTTTTTTAAGATTTTATTTATTTTTAAAAAGAGGGGGAGGGATAGAGAGGGAAATACCCATGTATGGTTGCTTCTCATGTGCCCCCTTACCAGGAATCTGGCCCACAACCCATGCATGTTCCCCGACTGGGAATTGAACTGGCAACCCTTTGGTTCACAGGATGGCGCTCAATTCACTGAGCCACACCAGCCAGGGCTGGGAGTTTTATTCTTATGTTTATGTATATATATTCCCAGACCTGGAGAATTTTTAAATGACAATCAGACATGGCAAGATGGACACGGGAGTGGGAGTAAGAGCAGGGAGCACCAAGGACAGGCAGGCTTTAATAAGGCCCCACCCCTTTCCCTTTACTCCTAACACGTCTTTATCTTATCCTGCAAACCAAACCCCAACTAAGTTACTAAAAATGTATTTACTTCTTGGGATCGAAACCTGTCTTGCCCTATTTTCTCTTTCCCATCAGAAACAGCTTAGGACCCCCCAAATACAAGCCAAACATTCAATCAAGTGATTGTTTTATATTTTCATAACATTTTAACATTTAATAGAAACTATATACAATAACTTTTTATGGTATTTTACATAAGATAGTCACCACAGAAATTTACATAGGTCAGAAGCAAGATGGATGGTTAAGGAGGGCCCAGTCCTATGGGCTATTTTCTGTGGGGGGAAGGGGATCAGATCACCCAATTAGGTGAGAGGTGAGAAAAAGCTAAAACACAAGCTGTCAGATAGCAGTAACCAGATATTGTGCCCATCAACATCCGAAGAGTACACAGCTCCCACCTGAACACCCATCTGGGTTTATTCCAAGACTCAGGAAATCCCCTTACAAAGATAGCTTTATCCCGTAAGCAGAGTTCCAAATATTCACTCATCCCAGCAACTCGGACAGCGTTCTCCTGTCTCTCTCTTCCTTGCCCAGAGTGGGAAGACACCCACAACTTTTAGACACTACTGGTCCCTTCTGCAAAAATGTAGTGGCTATTTGACTATAGTAGGAAATAACCCATAAGAAAAACAAACTAGTCTGGGTTGTCCTTTAGAGAGAGAGATGGTCGGAAATACTTATTTAAAAAATGAGATATTCAAATCCTCCAAAGTCAAATGGTTCCCAAAACCAACTATCAGCTGATAGAAGTGTGCTCTGGCTTCCCATTTGCAGTAGCCACTCCACTTTGAGGCAATGGTGCAGAGGCTTTCTCAGAATTTCGAGATCCTTGTGACCTGCACCCATCTCCAGCCATCTGCATCTGGCCCTGTTAAAAGAAAGTCACTTTGGTTATAAATGCATTTATTGTGATCTGAAGCATGAATCTGACTTAATAATGTCCATGTATCGGAGCAACAAGGACAAGACAGTAGAAATAAAATAACTGTGGGCAGCTGTTCTTCCCCATACTAACTGTCCCTGACTCTTAAAGTCAGAAGTCATTACTTGAAGCATTCCTGAGGCTCTCCCAGTGGGAGGGAGAGCTGTGGGTTGTCTCTTCCCAATGAAAACAGCCATTCTGTGCTCATTTTCCAGAACCAACGGATCACAGGAAGATAGTCCTTTGGGCCTCTGCTTGAAACCGACAGCTATAGTGTAACTGCTGGTCTTCAGTCAGGGCCATTCAAATCCCTCCCAAGGCTCAGAGAAAGAAACCAAATCACATTACCTATCCTTACCCTATGATGAAAATAATCCCAGAGCTAACCTTTCCCTTAAAAGGAACAATTTACCTATATTCTTTGTCTAGTTAACTAAATAAATTTGGGTCCTGCTCTCCGAGATACGAGAAGCAGGGGTTCTCTCTGGTGACCTGCCATCCAGGGCACCTTTACAGCCTCTGTGTGTGACAACCACACTCACTCCCTGGAGTGCACACTGCTGGCTGCGTGACTACATGAGGGAAGCCTGGCTGGGGTTGTTCTTCACTTGCCAAAATATCCACGGGAACTTCAACAGTGTCTTTGACTGAATGATCTTCAAGGGTGAGTGAAGGATCAAAAAGCAAGGGTGAAGGAGGACACTGCATACTGTCACCCACAACATCCAAGTCCTAGGAAAAGAAAGAGAAAAGCCTATCAGCAATACCAAAGGCACCAATCAGCTAAAGTTGGCATATGTTTCAGCAAACTACAAAGCAATTTTCCCATACTTCCCTTACCCCTTGCCTACCCTGAATAAAACTTTCCCTTAATGTCCAGAAAATGGGATAAGATCCAAAAGCACTAAGACTTTTCTCTTGCTGCCACATACAAAGCACAGA